CCCAGCATAGCTCCCCCCACCCACCAGCCCCTGCCCCAGCTCCAAGCCCTGCCACTCCTACACCCCTCAGCTGTGCCATCCACCCCACGGCCCGGCACAGGCTCTGCTCTCCTACCTGCTGTCGTACTTGTTGGTCCCCACATCAAACTTGAACGTGGGTGGGAAGTTCAGGGGTCCCTCCTGAAAGCCACTGAGGACAGGCCAGGTGCTCTTGGCAATGTTCAGCTGGCAGAAAACAGAGCAAGTCAGGGGGCACACCGACCCCCATGGCCAGAGCCCTCTGAAGCCCCCAAGACCTCTCCACCCGCTAGCACAGTTGCCACTGCCCCATTGCTGCGAGCCCCACGTGGCTCTTGGGTCTGTCTATGCCATGCAAGCAGCAAGTTCACAGACCAAATGCCCCCAGCTCTTCCCAGCACACTGATAAAGGACATGAGTGCCCAGCTCTGACAAAGACCATCCTGGGACTGTGCTGCCCCCTCCCCACAGGGACAGGGGAGCCAGGGCCCTTTGTGCCCCATGTGCAGCGAGGGCACACACCCTGTCCCACAGCTGCACGAGCAGTTTTGACAAGGGACAAATGGCAGCCAGGGCCCAGGCAGCACACTCACACCTCTCACCTGGTCCTTCTCCCAGAGCTGGCTCAGGATGTTGTTGTCAATGGCGTACTTTACAAAGCGGATGTCCAGGCTTTCAATGCGGAAGTTGAGGTCCCCAAACCAGAACACGAGGCTGTGGGTGGGAAGGAGGGTGATGGGCTGGAAGGGCCAAGGCTACCAGAGCCAGGTGGCACAGCAGGGGGAGAACATCTCAGCCTGCAGCACAGGCACTCTCAGGAACACCAGTGCAGGTCAGTGCTCACCTTACAGCTTTACCAGCCGCCAGCCTGGCCAGGGTTCCTCAGGTAGAACCACAGTACTATTAACCAAGCAGACCTGACTTCCCTGGGCAAAAATTGAGGGTGGAAACTTCCACCATGAGGCAACAATCAGAGTCAGACTGCACTGCTAAGACACTGGGGCAGAGCCAGGCCCTCCACCCTACCAGTCCCAAACCCCAACAGCATCAGTATGGCAGGAGATGCACTAGGCCTGGATGTTCCCCAGGGGAGACCAAGGACCCCTCTTAACACCTGCCCCACCATGCTGGGTCCCCACTGGGACAATTTTGCAGCTCTGCAGACAAGACTCCATCTCAAAGGTGCTGGGATTCAGGGGACAGACCCCAGACTCTATCTGCAGGGAGTCCAGTATGGGGTCTGGCACTAGAACCCTGGCTCAGACTGGGGAGCATAGCAGTGGGGTACGCACTCATGGTCCAGGATGCCATTGGCCACACGCCCCTCAAACTGCTGCATGTGCAGGATGGTGGCAAAGTCCTCCTTGCGCTGCTCCGCCTTCTCCAGGTGCGCTGGCAGGTGGCAGTTCAGGAAGCAGACCATGTAGCCAAAGATGCAGAGACGAACGCTCACCCCACCCTTGTTGCCCTGCACCAAGAGTCCATTACTCCTTCGGAACACAGCCCCTCACCACCTCCCTGAGGGCCACACTCACCCAGTAGCCTCCCAGCCCCGTCCTCGTGCAGTCAGTCTGTATGTCCTGCAGGAAGGGCAGGTGGTAGTACTTGGCAAACACCAGCAGGATCACACCCTGCATCCGCACTGTACTGACCTGCAATGGGAGCAGGGGCTGAAGCAGGATGGTGGCCACAGCAGATCCCATAGGGGCAGGACAACTTCCCCACCCCCAGGCTGTAGGGGCAGCACCTCCATGCTTTCCATGCACCCCATCTCGCAGACGACTAACAGCACACTTAGTTCAGAGGTCGACGTGCACACACACACACACACCCCCTTCACCCCCAAATCCTGACACCTGAAACAAGCCCAGCAACGTGAAGGCTCCTGTGTGCTCCAGAGCAAGCACCCTGTGGAGCTGGACCTGCCTCAGGGCCCACAGGCTGCTACTAGCACAGGCTCATTCCCACATCCAGCCCCTCGCCCTGATGTAACACAGACAACAAGAAGAGTCCCCAGAGCACCACAGGGGAAGCCTGAGGCACAAGAAGCAGAGTGGGGCAGCACCAGTGAGGGCACACCAGCGAGATGCTGCTTAGGCCAACCGCCACATGCTGCTTGCGTAGCTGCAGGCTGACCCTCCACACCTCCTTCCACCCCTGCAGCTCAGCTCTCCCTCGCCACATTCACCTGCCTGGCAGCTGGAGAGGGAATTCCAGCTGCCCAGCCTCTTCCACTTCTTACCAGGATGAAGTGAAAGGGGCTCAGCACGTCCATGAAGAGCTCACTCCACTGATCTGTGAAGAGGGCATCCTTCAGGCGCTTGTTTATCTTAGAGTTCACCTCTTGCAGCCTGAGAAGAAAGGGACAGTTCCCTCAGCCACACCAGGAAGGTGCCTGTGTCCCAGCTAGCAGGAGCTCCTTGGGAGAGGTGCCAAAGCACAGTGCTGGGGAGCGGAGCCAGCGCAGGAAGGGCAGTTCAACAGAGGACCCTAGGTTTGGAGCACAAACCAGCCATATCCTCGCTCCAGCGATGCTGGGCCACGTGCGAGCTGAAGGCACAAGCAGCCCTGAACCCATCAGAACTCGGCCCTTTTTAAAGCAGGAGCAGTTCAGCTGCACAGGGCTGGGCAGTAGTCTAAAGCCCATCTCTAGGTGCAAGAGGGTCTTACGGGATATTTCAGCTGCATTGGTCTTTACAGAGAAGTCAAGTCTCATCAGTACTTCAGCACAGGGTGTCCAGAGGCATCCTAGCCACCGAGCTCAGAGCAGCAGCAAACAGAAGGTTAACAATGCTCCTCCTGGCTCAGCAATTAGAGAAGAGAGGGAAGGAGAACATCCGCAGAGAATGGCAGAATCAGGAAATGTCTTGCCCAAAAATATCAAGTGCTCGGGGCACAAAGACACAGGTCAGAGGAAGGACACAGCCAGGCAGAGGTGCCCTGGAGGTGGGGAGCAGCAAGACAACCTACCCCAGCCAGAACAGTCCCAGCAAGTCCCTTCCTGTCACCTACACACTCTGTCCCATCCATCCAAACTGGGGCCTACCTCCACAGCAAGGCTGAGGGGACCATAAGACTGGCTCCAACACAATGACACAGCTGTGGCAGCCTCAGGCTCACACTGCCATCTCCTGGGGCAAGGGGCACTGGGGGTGTCCCCAGGAGCCTACTCCTGGAAACTGATCCACCTCTTCCACCTCACACCCACAGACAGGCTGCTTCCTGCTCCCTGTGTAAAAGCAGCTTGTCCCTAGTCTTTGCAGGGATCTACACACACCACAGCAAACCCTGAGTCTTCCCTAAGACTCCAGCAGAGCTCGCCTCACCTGCCACACCAACAAAGCCTTACCCGCCCGACGTGGTGCTGCCTCGCCAGGGGCACAGAGCCAATCCAGCTGGGACCCAACAGGAGATCTGTGCCCTTGAGGCCTGTGTACCACAGGCAAAAGCTGAGGCGAGGAGTCCATCAGTGGAGTGAAATGCCTCTACAGACTGGACCGCAGGACTGCCAGAGCAAGAGCAGCATCTGCCAAGGCTCAGTGCAGCACAGCCGGCTATAGGCTCTTTGAGGGTTCAAGGCTAGTCAAGGCTCAAGGGTTTCAGTTCCTCTTAACACTCCCATTTTACTGGGAGCCAATTCTCTATCACCTTTTCTGATATTTTACTGCTTGCGATGCACACTCCTCCCTGCTCACCATGCCCTGGAGAGGCTGTGGCTGCAGCTCATCCGTTCCCCACCCCCCAGGCCTATGGGGTTCCCCCAAAAAGGGATGTGGTGAGGCAGGGGAGGAGGCCCTGCACCTCACCCTCTTACCCAATGGCGATCATATCTGCATCATTTGTCTCGCCCGTGTTGAGGTGCAGCAGGGACGTCACATCATTCGGGGGCATGGCTGTGCCCACATTCCAGGTGACCACTGTGATGCTTGGAAAGGACAAAGGAAGAACGGGCTAACATTGGGGCTCAGAGATGTTCCCTGTTCCCCTCATCCAGGCCCCAGCTCTCTGTGGAGCTTAGCCAGGGCACGTACACGAGGTCCTTAACTCTTGTTTGAGGGGAAACGGGTCCTTGCCTCCGAATTCCCGCAGGGTCTGCGCCTTGGTACGCGGCAAGCCCTGCTGTATATCAAGCCCCAGTGAAGTTCTATACAAACCAGCACAACCAGGTCACATTTCCATCACTACTGACTGCCACAGGCGGGCTGGCACAGCAGGCAGCCTACAAGACAGGGTGCCCCCCTGAAAACCACTTCTCTCCATCCCCCAGGAACTGCGCATTCCTTGGGCTGGGGGGGCAAGGACCCGGATCTCAGCCCCCAGACTCTGCCCCGGAGCAGGACCCGCTCCCAAAGCCAGGGCATGGCGTGTGACAGCAGCGCCGCGCGCCCCGCAGCAGTGTCCTTCACCAGC